GTTTTTGAAACTTTGTCCAGTCATGAGCAATGAAACAGGTATCAGCAGGTAAAATAAACAAAAATTGTATGAACTGTGATCAAAATTTCACCTCAGACTTTCAAAATTACTCTACTTTTGTTAAAATATATGTGTATATGCAGTATACAGTGGTGTGTGTGTATGTGTGTTAGTGAACAGTCATAAAATTTGTTATTCTCTCCATAAGAAGACGTAGATAATCGGGAATTTGATCAAGTTTGACTAGTTGTTGATGCATATCCAATTTTTATTTATTCGTCAGGATTTGTCATTCATCAGCTAACACCATACCTTCACGTCTGTCCAAACTGTTGGGATTTTTATTGACTTTTTGATTACAGCTTGATTCCACACTGTATTTTTCGTACAAGTATGGAATTTTCAGCATGGATATCGGTAGCCCAAATTTAGCAGGCCGATCATAGATATCAGGTGTGTGTCGGCATGGGATCGAACCTCGGACCATGTGCATGGTAGGCGAGAATCCTAACCACCACTGTGCCACCGACGCATATATATATATATTTGTACCGATATCCATGCTGAAAATTCCATACTTGTACAAATCAGTCTTTCTTTATATGAACCAAAACCTTTCTTTCTGTAAAACCTTAGTCTTATCAAAGTCGTTTCTATCGAATGCTGATTTGTTTTCTAGCTTCTTCAAGCCTGCAGAGGTCTTTGGAACCACCTTTAGACATTGTTTATACTCTTTCACTCTTACATTTACCTGTCTGGAAATTTCTCCTACATATACGGCGTTACAATCCCCACAATCGATCTGGTAAACGCAATTCTGCTGATTTTCTTGTTCTATTTTATCCTTAACCTTCACCAGTAATGAGCGTAAGGTGTCAGCTGCACGAAAATACACTCTTATCTTATGATCGTTAAGGATTCACTTTATTTCATCGGATGTTTCTTTGCGGTTAGGAATCACTGCTGTACTAACCCGATCCTTAGCACCCAGTTTCGATCCATCCTTATCTACACATTTTAAATATCTTTTTATGAAGACTTTAGGATAATTATTTGATTCAAGAGTGGATTGAACCAATTTTAGTTCCTTGCTAATATCGTCCTCCTCATTAACTAGACGTTTGTCTTTATTGTTTTTTGTACACACAGTTTAGGCTGTATGTGATTAATCCAAAGTGCTTCCATCACCTTCAATAACCTTGAATTAGATTTATGTGAAATAATTGTGAAACAGTCATTAATATTGATTTTTATGACCTGACATTAATAAGTGTTTTGTGTGTACAAAAAACAATAGACTTCATTCTTCGCCTATCATGGACTACATGACCTATTTAAATATGACTGGTCATTAGGATGTACTTTTGTGTTTTTATTTAACTGAATAATTGTCATGAACTTTATTTTATTCTATTTTTGTTAACCATGTTATTTGTAAAGAGGTTGTAAAGAAACTATGAAATGATGCCGTCATCTCGCGAAAATTGTCTTCTTAATGCCTTATTTAAATTTATTACAGGGGCTAATTGTTTCAATTTTCTCAAACAGGAAGGTGTTTGCAATTGCAGAGGCTTGTGCAATTCGAGTTCATAAACCAGGTCTCTGTGTACAAAAGAGATGGTTGTCACTCTGAATCTACCATGGTAATACGTTTTACTTACTATTCTATCTCTTATTATTATTATTATTCTTGATTCATTTGAAACTGCCTTTATCAGTAGCATTATTTTAACTCACTTCAACATTACTATTATTGTTAGTATTATTATAACTATTACCATTGATATTAGTCTGTTTGCAGTTCTTGATATATTCTCTAATGACTAATTGTTTATCTAAGTGATGTAATTGGAGCCTAATGCATTTCATCTTACTTCTAATCTCTCATATTCTCTCTCCCCTTGTCTATTTGAATATGATCTGGAAAACATTCTCACCTGTCTTTGTGCATAGCTAATTCAATGTCGTTTATTTGCTTATCAGTCTTACAGATATATATATATATATATATATATATATATATATATATATATATATATATATGTATATATATATATATATATATATCCGTGTATGTAGAGTACTGAGCAGCTAACGAGTTCTACAGAAATTTGATGAATTCATTAAATCCTGCTTCATTAACCTTTGCTGCTTGTTCAAAATTCATATCGAGAAATAAGTGTTTCGACTGAACTTTAGAAAGAATAGGTTGAGTGAATGGACTGTTTTGATGATGTGGAACTTTATGGTGAGAAACTATGCTGGATTTAATGATGAATATTGTAGATCAGGATATGGATGTCGAGATGAAACCATTGTCTCAGCTTGTTTTTCAGGAGTACAGCATTCACTGACATTTTAGTTATCACTAGTATGAGGTGATAGTTATTGGAGATATCAGTTTTCTGTGTACTGGTTTTGTAGACATTTAGTTTGATTGGCTGGAGGATTTCATCATGAGGTGGCATCAGTTAGAGGACCACTGGCAAACCAACTAAGAGTACTGGACGGCTGTTTCATCCTAGTCTGAAACTCTTCATCGGAACGCATCCACTGGGGTTCGAACCCAGGACCTTCTGGTTACAAGGTAGCACTATGTCGTGAACTGGCGGAAGTTAGAATTCATCGGCCATTGGGTTGGGTCCCAGTGGCTTAGTGGTCCACCAGCTCGCTGGCCTTGTAACCGGAAGTCCTGGGTTCGAACCCTGGCGGTGGGTGCGTACTGTTGACGATTCCCAAAGTAGAATAAAACAGCTATCCAGTACTCGCAGGTTTCACAGTGGTCCACTAACTGATATCAGCTCATGATGAAATCCTCCATCTATATCAGCTTTACCACTAATATACATTTAGATATACTTTTCTGTTCAACACCTTAACTTATCTAATTTCTTTCTAGTTTTTTTTCGGTCAAAAATCTGGACACTGTGTTTTCTGGGCTGTAGATTCATATCAGCTGTTGCACTTATCTTACCTGTCAAGGTTTACCTCCGGAGTCTTCTTCCGACGATCGAGTTTTGACTGATTTTAGTTCTTCCCAAGATAACCTGTTCAGATGAAGTTCAATACTCAGAATTAACTATTAAAGGTTAACTTACTAGAAATGAATGTGTAACAGTCTATGTATTAATGAAGACGTATAGACGCACAGAGAATCTTCGACAAACAGTTGCATTTCAAGTAGCCAATGAAAAAACTCGATTTGTAGAATAATCTTTTCATATTTCATTTCTCAGCTGCTCATCATCACTAATCAATCTAAGACACAAACAGTAATGCTAAACGGTACTAATAGAATACTTCTGTAAATAAATAAAGTAGTCAGGAACAGTTAGACAGCATCATGAATTGAGGAGAAACAACTGTGGCATGTCATTTACAATGATGATAGCAGATTTCTTCATCTGCAGTTAAAGGAACGGAGCAGAGTAGAAATTCTTGATTATTTGATTTCTTTGAAGATTGTATAACTGAGGTTTTAATGTGATAGAGATTTGTAGCACAGGTGGAGGATTTTGAGGTGACTGTGTTCTCTGAGCTGGATAGTTAATTTGTGAAGCTTTCATCACCCTACTAGGCGACATCTTCATCGCATACTTTAATTTGAAGTGAGGTTGTAATGGCTGGAACTCAGTCGAACATAGGTTCTTCGGGAAGCTCAGTAGGAGAAGCACTGAAGTCAGTCATAATTTACAACATATTCATACCTTAGTTAATAGATAAAGATTAATAAAAAAAAATAAATGAAATAATTACGGAATGGTTTATTTGTTCATCATCTTCTGACACACTAGCTCATTTGTACCATTGTTATTATTGTTGTTATTATCCTGTCAGATTCCGGGTGGAATATAGGCCTTAAGTAGTACATCTCCATCTCACTTGGTTCTCTGCAGCCTTTTTTAGCTGGCTGCACATCTGCTCATTAGCTTCCAATTCTCCCTACTCCTTACACGATTACCTCAATGTCATGCTTGACCGTAAACCAAACTAATTACTTCCCATCCGAGTTCCTGCTGGATAGTGACCTCACTAAGTGTATATCGGATATGCAGCCACATTCTTCCTCATTGTTTTTTTTTGTGTTACAGGCTGTTGGTTGGTTTGCTTCCAGGAAAAAATATGTTGCTTTTACTTTATGGTGGGCAAGCTGAACATCATTGTCCAGTTATTAGAGGCAAAAGTTGATGAAATCCTGCGATCTTATAGAAATGATTTTCATGACTCACTCAATAAGTCTCTCAATCGTATATAAGAACTGACTTGATATTATGTCACAAATGTGCATGTTGTTACTTCCGATGAGTTCAGTAAATATGCATACTGATTTCAGATTAATTTCAGGTCTACCTTTGATTTTCCCCTCTTACCCTTGACATCCTCATGTGTATGGCCTCTATTTGTAATGATAAACACACGAAGAGTTGAAAGAAAAGAACTGTAGGTGTCAATAAGCAATCTGACATATATATATATATATATATATATATATATATATATATATATATATATATCAGTTACAAGAATATTCTAGTTTCAGAAACTGAAGTTTGACGTTAACTTGAGATGTAAAACATTCTTCCCGTTATTGTTCCATGGTTTTCGTAATTCTGCTTAATTAATTCTGCCTCATCACGATATCTTTACTGAAATTAAACATTTTACAGTAACATCAAGTGATATACGACGAATTCTTTTAAATTTAAGAAGCAACTTAGTGGTGGATATAAGAAAAGCCGAAAACCAGTTTGGAAAGACTTCTTGCCCATCATCCTTTAAGCAGCAAAATATGGAACACAGAGTGCGGTTTTGGTCCCATTATCTCGTTTGAAGATATGAATATCTCATCAATATAATTCAGCCAATTCAAAGAGTATGATTACATATTATTCAATGCTAGGTCATATTCTAAAGTGCAGTCTTCATTCAATGGCCACATATTAGCAGATATCGCGCATAACGACTCTTATTACTTTTCATCTTTTTTCTAATTAACGCAGAGTGATGCAGATTTCAACCGACAGTATGTTGAATACGCCAGTAAGATAAGAAGTGCAGTAAATTTGAACGATCCTGCAGCCAAATACACATGGCAGTATGTAAGTTTATTGTAGAGTGAGAAAAAAACAGTTTTAATAGCAGTTGCTAAAAGTTAAATAATCTTTGGTATTATTGAAACTTTATGATTTTGAGACTAATTTCTTAGGTGGTCCAGAATATCCCGGAGTAAATATTTTGAACTTGTTCTTAATGATTAACCATGGTGTTTTCATTTGTGCTCAGTTTCAACATGGTGTCCTGGTGTGAGAAGTCATACTTGGAGGAGTTAGACAGATGGAGTTATATAACCTTGTCACTGTGTGTATATTGCTGACTGACTAAATTAACACCCACTGATATTTGACGTAATGGATAAATACTAATGACAATAATAACACCATGACACTTGATGGTCTTGAACACGATTCTTCACACAGCAGCCAGCTGTCCCTATTGAAGAATCTCCAAATAAGTGGGAACAGATTTCCAGTGCTGTGTTTTTACTCTTCACTATTCATCCAACTGATTTTTGCTTACAAAGAAACTTACTCTAGTATATCGCATTGCTAATCTCTCTACTCCTAAAATTCCGTAAGTCGATTAGAAAGAAAAAGCAGACAGCTACAGAATGGTGGATATTCCCCTGTTTCATCCATTTATTTACAGCTGTGAAGATGTTGTCGGATAATTCAAGATGCAAAATGAATTACGCCGATGTCTTCGTGTTGAATACAATTCCTAATCTGACAAAACATATCATTCATTACTGACTATTCACAGTAAAATGGTTTTACTGAATAGAAGAATCTTCCTCATGTCTCTGTCTTCTATAATTTGGGTGATTTTATTACGAAGCTTTCATTATCCTTCTAGTCAATATCTTCAGAACTTACTTCAATATGAAACGAGCATTTTGGAATTCTGCGTGAATGACGTAATCAGTGTAGTCAACAAGCCACACGGGGAAAAGTATCGAATTCAAGAGGTTAGTGGTTAACAGATTAACAGCTGAACACATACATTATCGCCAAACGAGACTATTATATAATTCACGGAGAATTCTGAGAAATCCACTTCACACTGAAGTATGCGATGAAGATGTTATCTGGAAGAACAAGAAGATGACAAAGGAAAGCCTCTCAATTAGACCAGATGGCTTGGAGAACACAATCGTATGAAGAATACCTGTCTAAGTTACAAATCCTCTCCATAATTTCAAATAGAGAAATCTTTATTACATGGAAGATAATCCCTTGAGTAACTTCACTGATAATGTTCTGGAGCAATATTGTATAGAATATTTGTGGTGTTCTTCAACATGCTTTGTCGGCATGCACGTGAAGTACGTGAGAAGAGATTCAGCTGGGGAATTAAAAGATGTGATGTCGATGACATAAATTAGTCTTAAAGAGCATGAAATGAGTGCAGTGCTTCCAGACAGTCTAAGGAAGTATTAGTAATAATGTTGAAGTTAGCAAGTGACATGAAGATAAACCTAGAAGAATTCTGGGGTTAACGTAGATAAGCAGATCCTGATCAGTATTTCTGACAACTGGTACATCTCTGTAATTATACCCAAATTGTTCCGTATCTATTAGAGGAGAGTGATGGGTGAGAATCAATTTGAATAAAAATAAATGATTCTTCCTCCAACCCTTTTATTTTGATTAATTCCTGTATAGATTTGTTTTATGAACCCAGAGTTAAAGACTCATTAGGATCCAATGATCCGCAAAATCCAACTTCTGTCAATTCATGATATAATACTACCACCAACCACTGTCATCCGTGAGCATCTGCTTGACGTTCGACATGTTGGACTGCATCAGCGGGAGCTTCCTATCAAAACTTCAGGACATCTATCTGATGGCTAATATGAACAGGAGATTAGGATTCATAATTTAGACTTGTAGATTCCGTCATGAAGCGACGTCACTCAGGGGATCAATGAATGTTTACCAGATGACACTGGTAAGGTAATGGATGAGCAGTGCTGAGTAATCATAAACTGAAGTAACACAGTTATCCAGTGCCCTTTCACTTTCAATGACTTGCTAGTTGACGCCAATCATTGGTGAAACTGTTAACCAACTTGAAAAACATTCTTAATCGGGAGAAGTTTTATTAAATATAATAACATAAATGAATACTTATTTTCTACTATCATATTTACATGTAACTCAACGTAAATGTTCACCTATAAATCAAATTACAGTTGAATGATGGTAAAAGCGTCAGTCCATCAATTGGATTAGACATCAATTTATATCCAAATTTTATGGAGAATATTACTGGTGTCGGTTCAAATGTTGTGATCCTAGATGATGGATTGGATATAACACATCCAGATTTAGTTGACAATTATGATCCAACAATATCAATCAATATGGATAGACCTGAAACGAATGGTCTTAGTCCACGTGGACCACGTACAATAATGCCAGATGACGAAGGGTAAGTTAAAAGCTTGCATTAATTTCTGCTCATAAATATAGGTGCCTACTGCTTTACATTACTTCTATGTAGATTAAATATATTTGGATTATTTGTGTGACTTAAAATTCACTTGGGACCATGTTCTTTTGAACAACGTTGGAACATTCTGTTAGTTCTACATATATATACGTGTGTTTCCACAATTGCTGCAGACGAAATTGTTGATATAGTGTAAAGCAGACTCCGTAGAATTTCGTTCTCTTATCGTAGGCACAGAACTGAAGATTTAGATATGATACAGAAGATTTGTAGCTCAAATGGATGATTTTGATGGGGTTGTGTTCTCTCGATTGGACAGTTAGTTTGCGAAGCTTTCATTGACCTTCTAGGCAACATCTTCAGAGCATACTTCAATTTGAAGTGAGCTTTTTGATTCTCCACGAGTTTATTAGTCATTTCTTCTGATAGGTGATCGTGATAGCGATTGGTTGTTTTTGTGTGTTCTCACACCCTCTAGTCTACTTTTGTTGGAACTGATTGTTCCCTTGACTTGAAGTTTGATCCTTTGTGTGTGAGGTTTTCTTCTTATCGGTTGGTAAACTTTGTCTATCTTGATGTGTCTATTGATTGATGATTCACCGGAATACCAGGCTTCTGAAAATTCTCTAGAATTCTTGGTGTTTCCTTTATTTAATATCTGAACGTTGTCCCAGTCGAATTGATGTCCGTGGTTGTCTGTATGTAGTGATATGAAGGAGTGGATGTCATGTCTTTCGATGGCCAGTTTATGTTCATCGATACGAAGACGAAGGGGACTGAAGATGTTGGAGACGTTAGCGAAAAGAACATGACGTAGAAAGTGCTCTTGATATCTGACCAAAACCTTCCGACCGTAAACTACATGCATGTACGACTCTGAAATGTTATTTAAATAAAGACAACTTTCATTCTTCTTAAGAGAAATGTGCCCTCCAAGTCACCTAGTTTAAATAGTTATCACTAGTTGGAATCCTGACGCAAGACATACTTGAACCCGGACTTCTTTCATCAGACATTACATCAGTGGCCGTCTGGCAGTGGAAAGACTATGCCAATTGGTCTCATGAACAAAATGGAATAAGCATTTTGTCCTGTTAGAAGATCTACAATGGAAAGAATAATTTAACCAGTTGAACGTGAAGAAAATGAGTAGAAAATACTTCCAATTACTGAAATAAGCAGACAGTAGTAATGTTCTTGAATCATAGTAATTATTTTAATATCTCAGACTAAAAGCTTTAGCCCGTGTTCTATTTAAATCATTTTTCACGAGAAAGTTAGAATTAGAATAACGCTTTTGGATGTAGATCATGGGTAGTTGTGAATATTAAGTGTAACGGCAAAAATCTAAAAAACACAATATTCATACTTATTAAAATGTTTCGTCTAACTTCTTTACAATTATTTTTACGAGTTTGACCATGGATTGATGTCAGTTAGAGAACTACTGAAAACCAGGGAGCACCGGGCAGCTGTTTCACCTAGTTTGGGAATCATCGACAGTACGCACCCACCACAGTGTGGTTCGAACCCAGGATCTTTCGGTTACAAGCCAAGCTAGCTGGTATACCATTCAGCCACTGGGACCCGATTCAACGGCCAGAACATGAATTCTAACTTCCACCAATTCGTGATTAGCGCGACCACCAACCGGTGGCATCACAACGCTTATCGTTTTTCTCCTAGACTCGATATCATTGTTTTGACGTTTGACTTGATCCTTATTATTTGTCTTGGTCCCTGTTTAGTCTCTAATTTTAACTGATAATGTGTTGTTTTACGATGTGATTTTGTTGTGGTTGAATGAAGGTCGTTCTGACCTTGAATTGCTTGCAGAAAGCATCGGAATGTAAATCTTGTGCACAGAATTTTCAATCCCACCTTGTCGGCAATATTCTACTTGTTTCTAAGTACTTGTTTTGTACTTAGACTGAGCTATATAGTTGCCTGACGTAACTGTTGCTATAATTTTGAGATTTTGATGTTAATTCTGTTTCAAGAGAGCTGCAAATTTACCGTAGCCTAATCGCCGGTTTCCCGCCCCTGGAGTAGTTTGTGAGTGTACCAGTTATAAAGTATAGCACAGAGATCAGTTTCTTGCTTTCAGACCGTAACGAATTGATTTTCGTCGGCGCATTAGGTTGAAGACATTTGGTCACAGTTCTGTACCTACTAATACTTATCAACAAGATCTGTCTGCAGCCTCCATGCAGCTTGCTTTCCGTAAAGTATTCCAAATCCCCTCACATACTGCTATCGTCAGCTGTAATACTATTAGGCTTCTAGGGTGTGTTTTACACTGGTAAGGACTGATAATTTACAAGCTGGGTAGCAATTTGCAATTTAAACAGTTCGGGTGGTTGAGTTTCACCATAGTTTCCTTTGGAAGCCAAATAATTCTGATCCCAATATATGATCTGATTCATACCATAAGAGGTAGTCACGAAAGCAAACATATTTTCATAAAACTATATACTACTGATTGATTGGGATGAGTAGTTGCATACCACTCATATCAACCAGATCGAGGTGACCTAAACAACGACGGCAATTTCGCTCTTCGTGGCCAGAAGTCATCATCGGTGTACCCTGTTCGACTCAGCTCAAAGTATCGACTGTATTACCTATGCTGATCAGCCTGTAGAAATTGAATGTTGTTGTCTTGATTAAATCTTAGTATTAACCGAAATCTGTGTACCAAATTTTGCAATATTTCGGTTTTTCAAAGACTAATGTTTGCAGTCCACTTCTGAATCAGTGTAAGTTGTGATAAGTGGTAGTTGGTGGTGACGGTCGTGGTAATTGATGTATTTCACTTTCACTTATCTTTTAAAAAGTCACTTCTGCTTCTGCTTCGCTGTTGCACTTTCAGCTCCTAAAAATTCTCTAGTTAGTCCAGTCGTATCTGTGAACTTTTGGTTTGATATGAAGTTTTAGTTTCAATTTCACAATACAAATAAAAGGAAATATATTTGACATTTATATTGGTTTGTGCTATGGCAGTTTGCGAAATGTTCACTGGCAGATTTTGTAGATAATCTCTCAAACCTACTGTGCGTCGGTGGCACAGTGGTTAGGACTTTCGCCGACCAAGCACATGGTCCGAGGTTCGATCCCCTGCTGACGCACACCTGATATCTATGATCGACCTGCAAAATTTGGGCTACCGATATCCATGCTGAAAATTCCATACTTGTACCAAAAATACAGTGTGGCATCAAGCTGTAATCAAAAATTAAAATTAAATTAAGATCCTTGGTGTTCCACCCTGAACTCTTTCAAATGATTTCGAAAATTTCACACAGAAGACTTATCTAAGGAATATAAGTGTTGATAACATTGCTTAATTGTATCTACAATATTCTTGTTTACTTTACGATTGAGTGTTAACATACTAAAAAAATACTTACATTGGTATTTCAGCTAGATAGTTCTGAGAATACGGCTAAAACTATTTTATGAAAACAGTAGTGTGAATACAATGTCTGCTGATTTATTTTTGTTGCTTGTGATTTATGTAGTTACATTCGTATTCAACAAGTTTGTTTTCCAAATTATAATAGTGACTTACAGCAGGTGGTTAGGAGGACTCCATTTCTAATAGCTTTAGTATCGCCCTGATCAGTTTCCTTCTAACACATATATCACCGTTTCTACCTCATAAAGAGCCAAATACTAATATGACCGTTAATACACTTGGAGGCTTATGCTAACGAACTTTCCGCCTAGTCGATTTGAGGGCCTACTGTTCTAATCACTACTAGAGTAACGACAGAAGACAACGGCCAGTCAACAGATCGTGCATGGAGAAAACAAGGAGAAATTTATAGATTTTTACGTATATTATTATTAGCGTTACCGTTAGCAGAGAAGAAACGTCTTCTGATTGGTTATTTTCCTGCTGAAGGTTATTCTTTACTGCTAGTGACCATTTCCTAGAAAATTAAGCCATACATCTGCGAATTGCATTTGCACACGTTAAGCCTGCTGTGATTAGTCGGTGAGTCCTTCATGGTTAAGCATTGTTATTGTTTTATCATTACCCTGATTCGGGACGTGAACATTAACGTAAATTGTTGTCAACAATTTTGGCTTGCAGACAAATCTTTTCGCAGTAACACCAACAACGACACGATATGTCACCACCTAACCTGTGACAAAAGAAGACAAGACAGATAAATGATTTGGAGAGCTATTACTGTCTCGAATCAACAGCAATAGCGTATATCAATGCTTTAAATGACTTTCAGAGACACTAATCACACTAATAAGTTAAAACAGTCAACAACCAATAAGGTTCCAGGATTATAAGTGGAGGGGAAATATAAACAGCAATGTACTGTAAAGATAAATGTGGTATATTAGAAAAATTAGGTATGTATAACAAATAAATACACACATGTATAGTAAGAGGCAACAGTAAAGAATAGACACCAACTTCAGATGACCTCGAAACAGCCAATCAGATTCTTCCCGGTGAAAAGTGGTACTTAATTTACAAATAAGTGTACCTACGATATAAATGTAATAAAAAATGAATCATACAGGGTATATATTTCTAATCTGCTGCAAGAAAACTGGTCCCAGTTTCTCATAGAAGTGGTTTTAGAGATATCAAACCGATGTATTCTCTATTTCTACAACGGTAGCAGATACTGGTCTCTTATACGCAATTTATTACTAAGGGAGAGTTTAGATTTCAAGAACAAAATGTCCAAAAATTACAATTATGTACGACTTACCAAGTCTTACAGACTTCCTCATATGAAGTGGTTGCATCTGAATGTATAACCAACAATAACCAGGCAATGATTTTCCAGAGTTATTATCCCTCCATGCATGCATGTTTTATTCCTCCCTATCAACACATTATCTACACAGAGAAGTCAAAAGCCAAATCAAGGAGACACTTTCAAAGAGGATTATTTATGACTAGGAACCATTTTTTGTAATACTGAGCTACCTGATTGTTTAAATCAAGGTCATTTGACTTTGGTGTCTGTTGTTTACTCTTGCCTAGTAAGACATTGGCATAATGACCAAAACACAAGTGTATTCGTATAAATACAAGAAATCAATCAACGGAACCAAGTAGATGCGATCCATATGATTTATTGGCTTCTTCTGTATAGTTTACCAAAATTTTTGTGAGTTACATACAGACAAAGACTATATTTCTAGAATATCAGGACGTAAATAAATGTGATCAAATCTGTGGTACTTTTAAACAGTAATAAGTTATTATTGAATTGAATTTTTGATTTTCCCGTCGAATGATTGGACCGAAGTGCTCGATCTCAGGTTGACATGTCGGCCTCTTGTGCAGATGCTTCGACGATGTCTGGGCATTTAATTCTGTCTGTCTGTCTGGATTCAACATAGAACTTGGCACCGAAGTGCAGCAGTTCGAGTTGCCACGTTCCAAATAGCACACAGAGGTAGACAAGAAGATGAGTGAAGAGAATCAATAGAGTTTGACAAGTATAAGAGTGAAACAGAATGGGTAATGGTAGAAAGGAATATGAAAGATTACAGAGACTGAATACATCTGCGCCATTGACAACGATTTTGAGCCATGTCACCTATTGTCTCCAGCCATTGATTCCTAGAGTCCCGAGGGCCCCAACCCGGGAGTCTGCATCTCCCTACCTGACTCAGTTTAACTGTCAAGGATTTCATGGATTGATGCCATGTTTTTGTTTGGCCACCACTGGCTCTTTTCCAACCTGAACCTATATCAGCTAGCAATGCCCGTCGGGGGAGGCGGTGGTTAGGCATGCGCAGCACGTGACCTAGCCATCTTAGTCTATGTAACTTTATAACCTCGTCGATTGATTTTCCCTCTTTGCCCAACACTCTACGCCTAACGTCAACATTACTTATCTTGTGAAACCACCTAACGTGAGACAGAGATCGCAGACATCTATGATCGAAAGCAGTCAACCTTTTCATGTCTTCAACGCGTATTGGCCATGTTTCAGAGCCATAGAGAAGGACGGAGCGAACTGATGAGCAGTACACACGTCCCTTGGTTGATAACCGGATGTCACGCCTACGCCAGAGATGGTGTAAGTCAGCGAAAGCAGCTCGAGCTTTTCGGATCCGTGCTGAGATTTCATCGCCAATCAGTCCGTTGGTGCTAATACAACTTCCCAAGTAGGTGAAGTGGTCAACATGTTCTATCACTTCACTCCCTATCACGTGGTCCAGTCCTGTAGCAGCATCTTACATTTTGCAGGGGCGAATCGCATGCCAAACATACGAAGATTGCTGCTCAAGGTGTTCAGAAGACTCTGCATTTTGTCAGCATCCTCCCCTAACAGGACTATGTCATCTGCATATTCTAAGTCCATAAGATTATTCCCTGGTAACAAGTCGATTCCTAAGTCACTACGTTCAGTTAAGGATACTTCCATTAGCATATCTATGATGAAGTTAAACAGAAATGGGGAAAGTGGACATCCCTGTCGGACACCACTGGTTGTTACTAATTCAGATGACAATTCCCCATAAGCCCTTACACGACTACGTGAGTTTGAATAGAGTGCCTTGATTAGTGCAATGTACTTTCTTGGCACTCCCTTCACAGTCAGACATTGCCATAGTACCTTTCGGTCCACGGAGTCGAAGGCCGCCTTCAAGTCAAGAAATATGACAATTGTTGGACGCCGAAAAGTGTGTCTATGTTCTAGAATCTGTCGAAGAGTGAAGATATGATCTATGCACCCTCTACCTGGTCTAAAGCCTGCTTGATTTTCCCTTGTCTGTTCCTCCCGAGTTCTGCTTAGTCTATGCATGATTACTGAGCCTAGGATTTTAGAGACTATGTTCGTTAGGCTGATCCCTCTATGATTATCACACGAGGACTTGTATTCAATTGGTGGATGGTGGCTAGCAGTGGAATCCAGGATGCGTATTTCATCCTATTTGGGACTCGTCAGCTGAGACTGAGCACTTTGGTTCAATCAATCGACGGGAAAATCAAAAATTCAATTCAGTAATTAATATGACCTGTTGCACAAGAGGCGGCTCTCGTGGCCCAACTGATCTAGTGGATAACGCTTCGGCGTTTGAAACTATGGACGCTGGGTTCGAGTCTCAGTGGGAACATCATTACTCACTGAGAAATGCAGGTACATCCAGATGACGACTCCTAAATAGGATGAAATGCGCATCCTGGATTCCACTGCTAGCCACCATCCACCAATTGTATAGTAATAAGTTATATGAACAAGACAAGAATAAATCAACAATGCTGTCAAATATAGATACAAATAAAGATACACCACAGCTCATCCTTGTGTCCCCTCAAACAAAATATCAGTAATGGTAAATTAATACAATAGTGTCAACAGTTCAACACTGCAGAGCAGCAAAAATAAGAACTAAGTAAAAGTAATGACAAATGATAAAGACCAAGTGAAAAGGTGAAATACAAATGCTAGAATTATGACACAAGGATCAAATTATTAGAAATACTCAAACATGTAAATATCTAAGCTGTAAACAGATTATTCAGCAGAGATTTTTAGACAGTGCAATCAAGTACCTCCTGAATATTCACTAACAGCGCGCCCGTCTCAGCGTTTGATGCTGTAAAACATTGATTGTTTTTTATAGAAAAAATGTAATTGTCCACCACTGGATAGATAATTTATCATTCATCTATGTTGTATTGTGAAAACTTTCAGTCATGGAACACGATGTGCTGGTCTTGTTGCTGCAATGGCAAATAACAGTATCTGTTCTCATGGTGTTGCACCAAAAACGAAAATAGGAGGTGAGTTTCATAAATTTATTAACAACAAAGTTGTTGTTGTCGTTTCCTTGATATATATAATCATGTGATATCAGGTGGATCATTTCACTAGTTCTCTAAGTGATGTCAGTTCCTGACGAAATCTGTCTTCAAATCAATCATCCCTTCATGAACATATGACTAATGATTTTATTAGATGGAATACGTTCACTAAGAAAGACTCAGGTAGAAAAGTAGAATTTCTTTCCAACTATTTCACGGATCCACACAAATATTCAACAGTTGTACACAGGTTGATTGTCTTCACTTGGTGAGTCTCTTCATAAAATGTCAGGACTTGGTTGTTGAATGCCAGCAGGAAGTTGTACACTAAAAGGAGAAAGATGCCCTAGGATGACAAAAACAGGGAGATATAATTCCATAAGTTAGTTTAAGTGGAAAGTTGTATATCACTTGAGAAAGGGACTTATTTATTTGATTGAATAGAATTTAAATCTGACAGCATTCTAAATCCACTGTTAAAGGATGCCACGGGGGAAAATAGACAATTTATACTAGTTCAGTATGCGATGGAATGACTGTTAGCCGTCAACTGTTTCGTCCTAGCCTGTGTCAGTTTAACAATGTGAACAGCGTCTATTTATCCGCTATTCAACTAACCAATGTCACTTTGCCACTATCAAAAAACACTAAACTGTCAAATGGCTTAATATTAAGAAAGTAATATATCACCCAATTCACATAATTCCAAGGTTGTTTTTGTTCTTAGCTGAAGCATTTCAGAATGCACTTTGAATATGCTTCAGGGAAACCCTTCATGCCAACCTGTAGTTCAGTATTTCTTTGCAACGATTATTTTTGGTTGGGATAGAATGAAGTTGGTTTGCACTACTTTGATATTTCCTTAACTAATGGTTTCATTAGAAATCTAACAGACTAGTGTGGCCATAGTAGTCACAGTATTGTCTGTTTAATTGTCTGTCTATCACCAACGACGTTACATAACTATTAGCTGATTTTCCCTGCTGCTATTTAACTTAGACAACCAGTGAGGTGTGGGGAAAAGTTCTGTTCATCAAATAATGGCGAGGAAAATGACATCCACAAGAATGTTCATCATCGGTATGATTATTATCATTTTGGTTGCGATTGGATCACACAGGTTCATTAGAACAACCCACTGCACTCGGTTTTCGATTATCACCTTCATATGATTTCACGACTGTCCACAAACTTTCATATCCTTATAACTTCATCTCTTTCATGTCACCCACGGACCCATTCTGAAACTGTCGCTTCCTATTCTTGTTCTACTAGAAGACCTGGTAAATGATGTCACATGAATGTCTCCTCAGTGTATGTTCAGTCCATCCCAATTTCTTTCTGCACGTCTGTTAATCAATATATTCTTGTTTGGTTCTTCAGTTAGAACATATTAATTATTATTACTGTTCCTTTAGGTTCCGAGTGGAACATGGGGATTCAACAGCACGCCTCCACTTTGTCCTATTTTCTGAAGTCCTCTTTATCTGGTCCTACTATTGCTCACAGTCTTTTGTCTCCTCCTCAGATGACCTCCTTCATGTTAATCTTGGACGCACGCCCAACTCGTCATTTCTTATTTTGGTTGCACTCTAGCGTATGGTTGGAGCGTTATTCAACGCACTTCTAAATGTGTTTCTGATTCCTCTCCACTTTCTTCAGTATATTTCTTGAGCGATAGGTTCTTCATTGGTTGTTCTCATAGTTTCTTGATATTGATTCTTTCTGGTCACTGGATCTTCATTATGGAGCGAAGATAACTGTTGATACAGGTGTGTGTGACCTGTTTGAAATGCTTTATGTAACGCGCCAATTTTCTGACCCATAAAGCTCTGACTGGCTTAAAATTTGTGTAAAAAAATCCGAATTTCGTTCTTCATGCTGCCTGGTGCCGAAGATTTCCGAACTGATTACACAGTGATAAAGATCAAACTTGTCTTTCTCATTCTGGTTTTGACATCCTCGTCCGAGTCAACCGCCAGTAGTTGAAACGATGCTTCTTGGACAAATGGAGGAATTGATTCCTTCAAATTTATACCATTGATAGTGATTAATGCCTGTAGTTGTCGGTTGGTTATCTTCACCACTTCCGTCTTTTCTACATTCATATAAATTCTTATCTTTGCTGTATCTTTAGCAAGTTTGTTGGTTTTCACCTGTAACTATATGAGTTCATGTGACACTAGACATAAATCATCCACAAAGTCAAGATCTTCTGGAGTATTTTTATCGATCCAGTGTATACCTGTCCTCTCGTTCCCCACAGTCAATGGCTGGAGACAATAGGTGACATGGCTCAAAATCGTTGTCAATGGCGCAGATGTATTCAGTCTCTGTAATCTTTCATATTCCTTTCTACCATTACCCATTCTGTTTCACTCTTATACTTGTCAAACTCTATTGATTCTCTTCACTCATCTTCCTGTCTACCTCTGTGTGCTATTTGGAAGGTGGCAACTGGAACTGCTGCACTTCGGTGCCAAGTTCTATGTTGAAGCCAGACAGACAGTCTTCCGCATAATCCAACTGACTATAATTAGGAATATCATCGGTGATTACAGGAGGCCTTGTCCTACTCCATATTAACAGCGGCCGAAAACGGTTGTCATTATATTTTACAAAAAAATGAAAATTGGCTGAGATACTAAATGTCTATTCCCTCACCTAAATTACCTTTGCAGAGTTAAGTTTTACTGAGATTGTAAATATCTTTCAAAGCTAAACTTTTATAAATGTACTTACTGCTTATGAGATTTTGATTTTGAATTCTAAAAAAATATGAATTTGTTACCATCTTTTCTGTCTTCAGTTATACCTTCAAATATTCTGCTTATTTGTTTCCCATTTTAGGTGTACGCATACTGACTGGTGTAATTACAGATATTCTAGAAGCTAGAGGATTATCATATCAATCTGATTTAGTCAATGTGTATTGTTCATCTTGGGGGCCATCAGATGATGGTATTATAATGGATCTACCACATGAATTTGCTGAAAAAGCGTTAGATCATGGTTTGCAAAAAGTAAACGCTTTGTTTTTCAATTCTTAAAAGTGGTTTCTAATTTTACAAAAACAGTTTTTGCTTGAATGTGTCTGTAACATCGTGGAGTATTTGAAGAAGAGTTTGTCTTGATTTTGTTTTGTTACCTATGCATTTTCGTTTTGTGTGTGTGTGTGTGTACTGAGTACTCTCGAAATAAAACATGTTTGCTATCGTGTCATCGACTGCACGTTTAGGCGTTTTTATCCTAGCTCTAAGGTAACTAACTATCTTACCGTAGGTAACTTCACAAAGGCAACATTATCTAAACGACTATCAAAGACCTCTGGTAACTGCAAGTGTGTATTTATTCCCTATTATCAATGGAATACTTTGCAGTGGGAAATTTTGTCATTCACATACTCATCTGAAATTCAGCAATTTGTACTCTACAGTATCTGAAAATTCATGATACACACGCATTTCTTTCCAGTTTCTCTCTTTCTTAACCTCCTCCGTATCCTACTTGATTGAAGCGACCAATAGAAATTTCAAATTACCGTGTAGAGTATGAAATTGTATTGCCTACAAAAGGCAGTTTGTTACTTTGTGAGCTGTCGAATTCTCTTCAACTGTATTTATGATGTTAAAAACAATTGTGCAATTAGATTGGAAGAAACAACGCGGTTGAATTTATAAATAAATGTAAACATGTACTTATAAGACATTAATGCGTCGTTGGGTGGGCAGTAAAATGCTCGGCAACCAGAAACTTGTTTTAGAGTTCAAATCCCGATAGACACACACCTACATCTGTCTAAACCACTACTAAGTTCGATAAAGAGAGAAGGTTGGAACGTGAGGCTAGTGACTCAACCTCGTAAAAAAATTACACTACTGACGCTAAAACTTGAGAGCTGAAGCTTGAAGCCTTGTGTTCCCCTGAGAACTGAAAGGAATAAAGTCAATAATAATAATAATATGAGGAATTCCATCTTCGGTATCAGATGGCAGAATGTATCTCGTGAAGAACATTGATCCTGAAAGAAAAACAAAACCACAAATTGTGTTTTGTTCACTAAGTGTTAACGTCGGTTCGTGATAATTTATTCAGGGTTTTCAACATTATTGTCAACTACCCATACAGGTAGGGGTAAGGATCTTTAGTTTTCTTCTCAACATATTCTTTTTAAATAAATTCTGAAGTTTCAATTTATTTTCTAGTTCGGTATCATAACATTTCTTTCTGGTCTTTTGTAACAATTTTCTAACCAGTGTCTTTTGTATTTAACGTGATAACCAACTATCCATGTTAGACAGGGAGTTTTTGTCTCCAACATATCCATCAATCACCTCAATTGCTTCTCTCTGCAGCTAATTACGTCGGCAACTGCTTTAGCAACTTAGCTTTACGTTCTTTGAGATACTTACCAGGGTGACTAGACAACTGTGTGATAAAAGGCATTAATAAATCCAACAAATATGCAGAAACAAATGATAATGAATCAGATATATGCTCAGGGCACAGTAAAATGACATTAAACGCCAGGTCTTGTGATGAAGGCTTTCTGAAGAGGTCCAGTATTCTTCTAGGAGGGTAAGGAACAAATAATAATAGTAATATCAATGGTTAGCAGACTTCTTTCGAACACATCACAAAGTGAGTATTCTAAGGTTATTTTTTACTGCTCATCAACCGTATAATGAAATGACAGAAACCACTAGATATGGAATACTGAGGAAATTAGAAGTTGTAGCAATTCCCCTGAAACTCCCTCAACAATGTTTAACAGTAAATGAGAGCTGTCATTATTGCTACTCTGATCTGTTGTGGAATCAATCAGTAAATACTGCATTAGGTCATACCGTTTTCGTCTAAATTTCCTTTGGCCACTCACTTCTACATCCACCCACACAAAACTGTCTGCTATACTTCTCTCCCTGTTTTTGTCGAAATTCGTTCATGTGAGCTTTTGAATTAAATTTAATAAAAGGAAAAGTTACTGGAAATATTTCTTCTGGATACAGAGATCAGATTTACTGAGTATGATTGTTACTACTCTGGCTATGAACAGAAGATATAGTCGAAATTCTTTCGATACGTTATTGAGGTCACCGTATGCCACTGAATAAGCCTTCTGTGGTTAAATTTGATATGCATTCCCCACCGGCTTGGATAAGACTGTGCTGTTTATTCAGTTCGCTGTTCTTGTTCCTAACCATATAAGCACATGTTCATAGGCATACATGAATATAACCGTCTGATGATGACCCATATAACTTCTTCTAGAGGGTTAGTTGAATACACAGATGGCACAATACTGGTAATTTATCTTTCACTCATTGTGACAGTACCAGTTTCCTTGACGAGCTAAGTAATAGTTTATCTGCTGTGATGATTATCTCTATCGTTTTATTTTGCCAACAGTTTAGGATATCCAAGTATTGGTTTGTAGGGATTTGCTTGATTGGTTACAGGATTTCATCATGAGCTGACATCGGTTAGATAACCATTGGAAAACCTGGGAGTACTGGACAGCTGTTTTGCCCAACTAGCTTGAGACTCTTCATCAGTACGCACCCAATGCCATTATCCTGTGTTTAGGTGTCAGTATGTACTTTATGAGCAGGTTCACCGGAAAGCCGTTTCCCTTCAATGTATATCCCTGTATATATATATATATATACATATATATATATATAATAAAATGCTTAGAATATGATGTAATCAATATACATCAGACAAACAAACGAGAAATCGTGGTTAGATAAAAATAGACTCCATAGAACCCCTATTTGACCACTGAGAAATCCATCAGAAGTCTGAAAGTTCAAGTGTTGGTTTATAGGGATTTGATTGGTTTACAGGATTTCATCATGAGCTGACATTAGTTAGAGAACCATTGGAAAACCTGGGAGCGCTGGTGAGAAGTGAGAAGTCGTGACGAGTAGGGTGCAGCAGGTCGGGTGTGGGGACAAATACTCACCAAAGACATTGTCTAGGGTAGCGCTATGTCGTGAACTGGCAGAAGTTAGAAATCATTGGCCATTCGATCGGGTCCCAGTGGCTTAATGGTATACGAGCTCGCTGGCCTTGTAACCAGAAGGTCATGGGTTCGAACCCTGTCGGTGGTTGCGTACTGCTGAAAAGTCCCAAACCAGGATAAAACAGCTGTCCAGTACTCCACGGTGGTTTTCCAATGGTTCTCTAACTAATATCAGCTCATGATGAAATCCTGTAAAGAAATCTGAAAGCTTGAAAAATTATCAACCAAACCTCGACACGTAGTGGTATTAGGCCACGAAATTGATTTTGACAATACTGAAATCATCAAAAAATTCCAAAAGTCATAAAGAACATCTCATACGGGAAGCACATCATAATAAGTGGGATCCATATTATCCGAATAGGAAGGATAAATTAGGATAGCGCTTGACCTGATTCCAACACGCCTGTCCACTTGTAAATTCACAGAATTCATATATATATATATATATATATATATATATATATATATATATAAACTGCAAAATATATTGTTATAGAACTTATAATTGTGGTTAACATATTTCATTTCAATCATCAAGAAATATTAAACGTCATGCGTTCACAAAACACCTCGATGTAACTGCTGATAGCTGCACTGAAACGATGGCGTAGTCGAAAGATGAGTCCCTCATATAGCTAGACAAAACTCTGGTTTTGTAATTGTTTCTAATACCACCTCCAACCTGGTATTTATTACCTCTTCCCTCATCATTATTATCACCAGTCTATCAATGCAGTCAGTGTTTTAGACACCATGGTGATAAACAATAAGTTTATTTTTATTTATATTATTATTATCATCATTATCTTAGGGTAGAAATGGTCTGGGTTCAATTTATGTCTTCGCTTCTGGAAACGGTGGTCTATCTGGAGATAATTGTGGAGCGGATGGATTTATTAGTTCACCGAATGTAATTGCTGTTTCAGCTATAGATAATGTTGGTCGAAAAACTTTATATTCAGAAGCGTGTGCTTCAGTTCGTGTATCAATTCCTATCGGTGGAACATTTAGTTTTTTCAGGAGTGATTTTCTGGTTAGTATTATTTTATTATTTTAATTTTTTAAATTTTTGTAATTTATATTCTTTCATAAGATATTTCAACATGTACCTAAATTATCAGCTATTATATTCCAATGAACTTTTCATTTGATGATGTTAGATGGTTGGAGGCAGCACTGGGTGATGCGCGTTCGAATGTCAGAAGTGACATGAGTCCCTTTGAGGAGGTCGCAGATACGTCTTGCTGACCAGGGTCAACTAGCACGAAGCCTAGGTCCAAAGCTTCCTACCGATTACCTCCAACCGTCTAATATCATCAAATCAATGAGCATTATGAAGGCAAGCTACCTCGAATGGCGGTTACATTGCAAACCTCACCGATCGATAGAATTCACTCTGTACCAAAGAAAGCACTGGACACATTACACTAGTTACTAGTGTCCAATCAAAGAACTTCTCATTTATAAAATATAATTAATCCAACACTAAATTGTTTGACTGCATATTAGCTCCATAGCTGTTTTTCCAATATTCAAGAAAGGCAAGCGGTTCGTTAACCTTTTATCACCATACTTATCAGAATGTTCCAAGGATTTGTGACTAAAATTTATTGGCGAACTGACTGCTCATTAAGAAGTGACGATTGTTATATTGCATGCGTTGAAAAGCTCGATGGCAAGTCTGTTTATCTCTGCGTTGGTTCACTTTCTATTTCACTATGCTTCTCTCTTCTCCAGATATCTGTAGAGAGTCATTCCTAATCTTACCTCTTCGTCTGGCCTTAGAGTTAGTTTCAGAGTTTCAGTATTCTTCTTCGGAAGTTACTTCAGTGATATTACTTCATATCCCCGACCTATTCATCACGAATATAGTGAAGGGATCATTTGTAAATTTATCCTTCAGTTTCAGAGTGTTATACTTAAACTGTGGTCTATTTTCAACATTTTCGAAAACTTACACCTTGATCTGGGAAGTGTTCTATGCACTACAGAAGTATAGAACTACATCTACTTGCCTTCTTGATTTTTAACTAAGTGACCTACATCCTCACTGTTTTGAAATTGAGATAAAGTCTATCTGATTTTTGCAGTATCTGTCTGATGAATGATATCCCCGTCGCCAACTTGTTGAGACCTTGTCCATCACCACTTGCACTTGTCTGTATAAAACCTCCCTCATCTACTTCTTCTTCACTGTGTTTGAGTTGTTGTAGGTACATAGCACTAAATAATAAAAATGTAACTTCTCTCAATTCTCTTCACATTTGTTTTTCATGTATCATTTTCCGTCAATCATGAAGGCGTTTTCATCTTTAATAATAATAACAGTAATAATGGCAATGAAATCCTCATCCATGTGTATCTACCAATTTGACTGCTCTTGTGGTGCCAGTTACATAGGCCCTACAATTAGGCGTGTTTCTCGTCGAATTTCCGAACATCACCCTACGTGGTTAAGCAAAGGACAAACAAAATCCATTCGTAGCACTATTCTGTCTCATCTTGTGGAGACAGAACACAAGATTGACGTCAACCATGCTTTCAGGGTCATTTGCCGCATACCTACGAATCTCAATTTTGCCTTAAGATTTCGACTACTAAATATCGCTTAGGCTGTGGGGATCCACATTAACAAGCCTAATTTATGCATCCAAAAGAAGTTAGTTCAGACCTTATACTTACCTTGGCCATGCAGCTTTGAATTATCCTGAATTTTTGTGCAATTTCCCTAATTTTAGTTGATATTCTAATCGCCATTATATCTTTATTACAATTGTAATTTAAGTATTTTTAGTGAACTGTAATTGCATTGATCTTACTTTACAAATCGATATTATTTAAAAAACACTAATATTGTTATTAACTACGAATCTTGAATACTTTGTGTATATAAACATCTATATATAATTGTAGAGTCAGAAGAGGAATTTATCGAAAAGAATATTCTTTGCTCGATTATTTTGTGTTTTATAGATGTCTGAATGAATATTTTTGCTACATTTTAATGTTCTTATTTTGTTCGAAGAATAAGCTGAAAACCATTTTTTTACATTTACAAGAATGGAATCTATTAATTCATGAAAGTTTAAACTTACCTTTTTTCTACTTCACCATACAGCCGACCTCAATGGAAAATGGGAAGTGCGACGAAGCGTTTGTGGGGACATCTGCAGCTGCACCAGTTTTTGCTGGGTGTGTAGCTCTGGCACTTGAAGTAAAGTAAGTTGTAAATAAAGTTTTATAAAACGAAAGATTTCAGATGAATTGTTCGAGAAAAACCCCTTTAATGGATAAAATCTTATTTCGATTAAATCACACAGTATTATACGGTGAAAAGCAAAATTAAAATAATAGTGAAACTAATAATGATAACATAAATAAGAAAGAATATAAGGCATCTACAGCTCTACTGTATAAGCAGGGGACATTTGAGACTCTACGTACAATTCTCAATAAAGCAGGAGTTAGGGTGTCATTCAGACCTACAAGCTAGGTAGGTTAAAGGACCCGGTTGACTTAGTTAAACAAAATAATATAATTTACAAAATACCTTGCAGTGACTGTGGTTTAATTCAACTAAATAAGTCAAACTAGTAGATCAGGAGTGGTGAGATTATCGAAACATAAGAATTTATCTAAGATGGGAATGGATGATCCGACGAAACACTGGAGATAGAAAGAACATTTGAGAGAAGAACCAAAGGGACAACTACTGGAAGGATGGCCATCCACAGTTTATTTGAAATTATCTTTTTATTTGTGTCAGTATGAAGACTTTGTCGCTGGTTTAAGGACTATTTGAGGTGCAAAAATCTGTGGTCAACCTTTTCTGATTCCTTGTAAGGCGTCACAACTGAATCGTCAGTAGTCTTTCGGAAACACCTTTTCGCTACTGAATCTCTATTCACTAGCAGTATGACTTCACCCTCAGATCCCTAACATATTGTAATTAACTTACACTATGGTGGTAACTGCCTGTAGTCCATCCGCTATTGAAGCAGACATTTTCCGCATGGAAGGACCTTTAATGACATTTGTTCCACCCACCGTAGCTAGGGAGGTCATGAAAGTATTCAGGTATATCACTAAGCCAAGTGAGCGGTGGTCGGCCGGGATTCACTGCCTAATTAATAACAATTCACTAAAACTATAAGCCATCAAACAGCCAATAATATTTTCCATTTCAATGCACAAATATTCTATTTCATCTCATGACAGCTACTTCGAAATGTGAAAACATTTTGTAATTATCTGAAAATTTTTTCAATAAGTTGCTCAATTTTAGCATCTGGTAGTGCAGTTAAGAAATTCTTGAAGGTATGTGAGTTCCGAACTTGGCTTATGACAACACGTACAAAGCTTTAAAGAGAAGTCCCACTTTTTGATTAATTCTTAACATCTAATACCAAATAAAAGTGCGTTGCATATCAGTCGACCTGGTGATCATGTTATACGCTTGTTTGACAGATGTCCAGCCATTCGTCTTGAAATAAATAGCTGTCTTAGTCACCGTCTTCTGAATAATTTGCCTACGTAAATGTTTTCTATTAAAAGTAAACATTAATCTCAGTTTTTATTGATGACACCATCTAAAATAAATGTGACCAACAAACTGATATTTATGTGATGGGAGAGAATAAATAGAAATGCAGGAAAAATTTAGGTCTCTGAAGCGTTCAAACTGGTGAAAATGAATCGCTGTGCAGTGAATTTAAGTGTTAATGATTTTACTGAACTTTTTCACCTTCAACTCCGCTGTATCTTATCTCCTTCACTGTTGGTCTTACTGTTTTGCTACACCTTTTAATTATGTAATCGATAATAATTCTACTGGTTACAGGATTACATTCTGAGCTGACATCGGTTAGGGAACCACTAGAACACTTGGGAGTGCTGGACAGCACTCTCGTCAGCCTACTTTGAGACACTTCAGCAGTACCCACCCAATGTATGGAGTTCGAACCCAGAACATTCTGGTTACAAGGAGAGTTTGTAGACTATTCAACCACTGACACCCGATCCAATGATCAACCTGTGAATTCCAACTTCTGCCAGCTGTCATCAATCAAATCGAATCACTATAGAACAACACTTGAATAATTACAGGAATAACAATAATACTTTATTTTTTTGTTTTAGCCCAAAATTAACATGGCGTGATATATCACATCTTCTGCCATGGAGTAGTCGTATTCCAAATCCAATCGATGGTGGGTGGACTGTCAACAGTGCTGGTATATTACATAATCCGTTCTTTGGTTATGGTACAATTGATTGTTATCGTATGGTGAAATTGGCAAAACAATGGAATTCAGTTGGCCCATTATGTGTATCAACTCATGACAACTATGTATATAATATGTCGACAAAATGGGGAGAATTACAGCCCCAAAGAAAGAAAGATGTTCCAGATTTGTTCGAGTGTGATGAAAACTGTGTAGCACAGATTTCTAAAGAATATGAAACATACTATGAAAAAAGTTGGTAGGTTCAAATGATAGCACCGTTTTGTGTAACATTTTCACTGCTATTACATCTACTACTACCAAGGTAGTTTTTATTACTCATACAATTTCCAATGATGTTATAAGAGCTTTTGTACAAGAGAACTAACTATCTGTAAAAAAGAAGCCCTTTATATAAGACTACAGTTCATGGGCGTTATACCGAGCGACATGATTGCGAAGAAATTAAGAAAAACAGTTCAAAAACTTTTAATGCTGGCGAACTATTCCTTTTATTCTCTACACGACCGATGGAGATTCCTTGACCGAAAGAGGAAGTACCTAGACTAGCCACTTCAAATTGTATTTACCAATTCAACTGCACTCGTGCAGCCAGTTATATTGGACTTCGCTCTAGGAACTTGATTTTTCGTCCTCACTCGAGAACATCTCCCAGCATGGCTAAGTAAAGATGTAGTGAAAACTATTAACAGCTCGATATTGGAAAATCCGGTGCAAACCGGCCATAAAGCTAGAGTGGAAGAATCCTTCTCTAAAATCTACCGGGTGCCAAATTAACTGCCAAAAATATCGAAGCACCACATGCTCCAAACAGCAGAGGCTATTGCGATTCTCCTCAAACAACCAGCGCTCTCTGTTCAAAAGAAGCAAGTCCAGCCCCTACTGTTGCCCTGGCCTTCAGTGAAGACTACAAATTCATCGATTCTTCATTATTATCTTTCCTACTTTTTCTGACATTGAGCTTATTTTATGTTGATGCGATTTAGCTGTAATCTATCAATATTATTGATTTGATGTTATTTAAACAATAATGTCGTTCATAACTTTAACTCATTCATTCACTATAATGTGTATATAACTGTAGAGCCTGATGATGAATTTATCGAAGAGAACAAGAATTCCTAGATTAGAGTTCAGCAGAGAAGCTGGGTGCCTGTGAGAACCAGGTGACTACATATATCAAATGTAGATACTGCAGATACTTTTTTCTGAGAAGTTTTGATTTCCAGAAGAAACTTCGTTGAATTCTCACCTGGAAGTGTGCATTTCGCGAATTGAGAATTCAATCCTATGTATTACCAGTTCACCCAACCAACTAGCCAGAATTCAAGTGGTTTGAATTGGTATTTTTGTCTGACCTGAGTCAAACCTGGTGCACCACTGATGAGCTTGATAGCTAACGAACGAAACACCCGTCCGACTTACAAATCATTTTGGTCTGGCTGCCAAAATGTCTTATTTGACGCAAGGAATTTCGAAATGCTTATTATATATATATATATATATATATATATATATATATATTATCACAGATACTGCTAGCGGAAACTTGACTGAGCGCATGACTGTTAATTCCATAGTAGTTTAAAGTGTAACAAACATTTTTTCCTTCCTCTCCACTGTTGCTTATGTACCACTATTCGGTCCCATACTTCTACTAGTATTTACAAATTTACTAGTGTTACCACTGAATTTGTGTTACACATTTCTATGGAAAAGAATAATGTGAGTGCGGGATGTGGTTATTATAATTCGTATGAATCGTGATTTCATCTTCAGTGGATAATCTCAATTTAGCTCACCAATATAAGCTAAAATTCGCAATGATTTTTCCTATAGATTTAGGAAAACTGAAAGCTTCAAAAAGTATTTATCATCTAGTATTGGTTTGCAGTAATTTGATTGGTTGCAGGTTTCATAGGGAGCTGACACTAGCTAAAGAACCATTAGAAAACCAGGCAGTACTGGACAGCTGTTCATTTCTAATTTTGAGACTATCCAGTAGTACCCGCCCACCGGGTTCCAAACCCTTAACTTTGCAGTTGCAAGACGAGCTGGTAAACCATTTAGTCACTGGGACCTGATCAGATGAACAGCCCAACTTCTCTCTGTTTGCGATATATATGGCACAAATGCCTTAGCAATGGCTAGAGTTTACGCATCGGTGGCACAGCGGCTAGGACTCTCACCAACCATGCACATGGTCCGGGTTCGATCCCCTGCCGACGCACACCTGATATCTATGGTCGGCCTGCAAAATTTGGGCTACCGAAATCACATGCTTAAAATTCCATATCTGTACCGAAAATAAAGTGTGGAATCAAGCTGTAACCAAAAATTAAAAAAATAAAAGCTGGGTCACAACTAACGCCAAGCAAATTATCCACCATCTTATGCCATACATTACTTAATCATGTTAGAAGTCATATGTCACAGGTACTAACCGATAATACTTGCTAGCCACTTTCAAATATTCCAAGTAACGGACCATCGTTTCTCCTGTTTCCAATAAAGTACGCCAAAAAAGTTGCCACCACGGATTCATCTCAGAGAGACGAATCAGTCTGAATAACTGCTATTTTGACTAGCCGTTTACCCAGACTAGTTATGCATAGCATAATATCTGTTTTTTGTGTTATGCTTATTCCCAAAGTGAAAGTCACCATGGTTCCCTTTGCTAATATAGCTGCTATATTGACATTATAAGCAGCCTATATATATATATATATATATATATATATATATAACTGTCTGTTCAACCTGAATGAAAAAGATGAGTCTTCAGTCAATGAATTCTTGATTGTGCTACAACTTTCTAGGAGCCGATTTGCAGTGAAAATGGTTCACTCGAAACGACTTAATCAATCCCTGGACGTGGTGAGACGACGAAGAAGAAGAAATACCAGCAGTTTAAGTGGCAAGAGACAGTAGTTTTGATTGAAATATTAAAACTTATATCAAAATATGTGAACACAGTTGTGTAATCATTAAGAAAGTTTTATTCGGTTAAAAATTGCAGTAGAAATGAATATGTCTTTTTTTTGATTCAGTTAAACTTGTTTATCGTTTCACGAATCTATCACCTTCTCTTTGTAAATATAGGGCAATTAAATCACAAGCAGAAACTATAATCCCATTGAATGTAACCAATAGTGATGGTGTAACTAAATACTCATTGCCACAGAATATTCCAGAAGGCACTCCATGTCATGTAGATATTGTTGAACAAGTTATTATTGATGTAAAATGGAAACATTCATGTCGTGGAAGTCTGGAATTCAATTTAACTAGTCCATCTGGAGCCTCTTCAATGCTGTTGGGACATAGAAAACGCGATACATATACTGGTGAAGGTTCAATGCTTTTTGCTTCTGTAGCTCATTGGGGTGAAAAAGTCACTGGTATATGGAAGCTAACAGTAAGTTGTCTTTCATTATCCTCAATATGACTTCGCTTGTATAAATGTCTGCATGAAATTAGATTTGTAGACTCCTTTTTCCAAACAAGTACAAACCACTCTTCCTTTCAATAAGCTTCAGTAGCATAAGAAGGATAGTGTGATATAGTCATACTTATTTATACCTGGATGAAACTGTCGAAAGTCTGTTCTCTACAGAAATACAATATTCACCGATAACTGTGCTTTTTATTGTTTTAATGGAATTGTTACACTGAAGGTTTTAAGGGAAGTACTCGAGCCAGAAAATGTAGAAATGCAGAAAATGCATTGCGATTGGCTGGGTGCGACACTGGAAACCATACCCACAAAGATTAACACTATCGCGACTGAAAATCTTCAAACTTGAGTATCTTTGTTCCACTGGGAATGCAAGGAATATAAGAAATTTCAAAAAGTCTTTAAACTGATTTGACATAGGCTTATTTTTTTATTCCTTTGCATTCCGGAAGGAAAGCACAGTTTCAATTTGCATCTTTGAAGTTTCTGTAACATTGGTGTTCTTTTCGCAGGATGAGGTTGCCGGCCTTACTCCCAACTTTCCCCGGCTTACGATCGGACAGAAAAGGAAAATGTGTGCACCATCCAGGGAATTGAACCGTGGGTCACATGCATGTTTGACGAACATTGCACAGTTGAACCACTGACGCGCACATAGTTGTCTGTTTATAGCATAATTATTATTATTATTCCCTCGGGTTCCTAGTGGATCATAGCGCTTCAACTGCACGTCTCCACTTGCCACTTCTGTCTTCTGATGCTGTACTTTTCACCTGCATCCACGTTAGTCCATACTCTTTCAACTCCTCTTCACACGATCTCCTCCATGTCACCCTTGCACCAACGTCCCTTTCGCCGCTTCCCTTTCGGGTTCCACTCGAGCAATGGCCTAACGCGCGCGCGATGTCACCCAGCGGCCTCCTCAGTCGCGAGTGTCCAATCAGTCCATCTCCACTTTCTCTTGCATATTTGTTGGGCGGCGATTGGTTCTTGTTTTGTTTGTTCCCAGCCATAGTTTCTTGTTGGTGATTCTTTCCGGCCCGGCGATCTAATCTTCAGTATAGAGCGAAGACAGTTGTTAATGAAGCTCTGCAACAGGCTGTTGAAATATTCTTTGTGACCCGCCCACCAAGTTTCTGATCCGTATAGAAGAACTGACCAGCTTGACGTTTGTATTGAAAATCCGACCGAATTTTGTTGTGATGCTGGCTGAGTGACGAAGATTTCCAGATTGGTTTCAGGTTGATGAATGGGTTTCTCGCTCGCCTTCCCGATTCTCGCTCGATTTGACATTCTCGTCCGTTCCGGCTGGCTGTAGTTGAGACAATGCTCCCTAGATAAGTGAATGAAGTAACCTCTTTCAAATCCCTCCCGCTGATGGTGATTGGCGTTGGATGTTGCTGTTGTTGTTGTTGGCTGGTTATTTTCATAGCCTCCGTCTTGTTTAGGTTCACCTGGAGTCCTGTCTTTACTGCTTCTTCGACTAGTTTGTCGGCCGGTTTTCGCTTGTAAGTCTTCGATTTTAATGTGACATCAAACATAAATCATCCGCGAAGTCCAGGTCTTCTAGGACCAGGAGCATAATTATAGATGGATAATTTTATTTGACATAGCACAAAATAATACACAATTATTGATTTCCTGATGACATTCCAAGTATAGTATATTATTCATAGTCATATTCAGATGGCACAAATTCATGTTCCTCTTATGTGAGACCTGCAGTGCAGATTTAGCTTATTAGGTGAAACACTCAGTTTTCAGACAACACATCATGAATTCGAGTCCAGTTCCACCTATTTTACTCTGGGCACTGTCTAGGTAATATCATAAGCAATCAGCTATAAGTGTAGCTTGTAGTGAATCCGTAGTGCTGTTGCTAAGCTACACTTTACACTTACTAGCCTTTCCTAAACATAATTTACCTAGTTACCCAATAAATTAGTACTCCATCCAAGCTGTAAAGGCCGACAAAAAGACACAAATAAAAAAGACTTAAATAGCTGGAAATGTGCTCTGGTGAACAGTATATTTGAGTAAAACAAAAGGTTAAGGTTATCCAGCGAATATAGCTGAATATTACAAACTCAAAAAATGTGCGTCTTGATAGCATAACAGAAACGTTGAAAATGCCTCTACAGCTAGTCTTGTGGTAAGAGCTGACCGCAAGCCAAAATTGTTGACAACAATTTTCGTCAATGTTCACGTCCTGAATCACGGTCATGAGAAAAAACAATAACAAAGCTTCACCTTGAGAAAATCACCAGCCAATCACAGCAGAGTTAAAGTGTGCAAATACGATTCGCAGATATATGGCTTAACTTTCTAAGAAATGGTCACAAGCAGTACAGAATGATTTTCAGCAAGAAAGCAACCAATCAGAAGAGGCTGCTTCTCCGCTAACAATAATGTACTTAAATATCAATAAATACCTCTTGATTTTCTTAGTAAACAATCTGTTGCTTGACCCTTGTCTTCTGGCATCACAGTCCGAATGCGTATGAAATATTAAAACATAGTAACTTATACTACAAGCTTTTAACCCAGTGCACGACTTAGTTGTTCTGAATAACTGAGGCGTAACACTATAATATAGAAAACAAATCTACACATCTTTAATAAGAAATAAACATTTTCTCCAGATAAAAGTGCAATGTTGACTCCATTAAACATGCTACTCCGATGAAGGAATGTGTTTGGTTAAATGTGTACTACACATGTAAGAAAACCAGAAGTAAAATTTTTCCATAGTAACCCTGGGAAGTACAATATCAGAAGCATTAGTCTGATGAACGGTTTACATGACAACTATTCTCCAACTGGAGGATCAGTAAATCCTCAAATTTATCTTAATAAAGAGCTACAAACAAGTACATTGATCTGGGACTAAAAGAAACGTTACATCTCACATAGCTGTTCGAGTAAAATAAAATAACTAATAAATTTACGATATCTGAAGAGAACTTAAAACCAGAGACAATGGAGATAGGTATAACAATTTGCAGTCGACCTGCTTGAATCACTAGGCTACTTACTACACACAATGCATCATATCTGTCCTAACTCTCCTCTTCTTAAACTTTTTACTTATGTCCTTGAGTCGCCAAATTTACCCAGGCACATTCTCAATTGGCTATCAAACTATCGGTATGCATTTCGCATAGACGAATGAAAATTATCATATGCGGGATTAGTCTGTGCTTCAGATTTAAAAACACTGCGTCACGTGATGTACAGTAGACTTCTGTTCTACTACAGAAAAATCCTACAGAATTTTGTACATTGTGAAAACATTTCCTTCACAATAAAGTTATTTATTTATTTATTTATTATTACTCATAAACTGTAACAATAAATGAAATATAATTGGTGGATGGTGACTAGCAGTGGAATCCAGGATGCGCATTTCGTCCTATTTGAGACTCGCCATCTGGATGTACCTGCATTTCTCAGTGGGTGATAATGTTCCCACTGAAGCTTGAACCCAGTGCCCATAGTTTCAAACGCCAAAAATTCAATTAAATAATAGTTATGACCCGTTGCACAAGAGGTGGCTCACGTGACCCAACTGGTCTAGTGGATAACGCTTTGGCGTTTGAAACTATGGGCACTGGTTTCGAGCCCCGGTGGGAACATCACCACCCACTGAGAAATGCAGTCACATCCAGCTGACGAGTCCCAAATAGGAAGAAATGCGCATCCTGGATTCCACTGCTAGTCACCATCCACCAATTAAATACTAAGTGCCCAGATATCCTCGAAGCATCTGCACAAGAAGCCGACATGTCAACCTGAGACCGAGCACTTCGGTCCAATCAATCGACGGGAAAATCAAAAATTTAATTAAATAAATGAAATGCATTGCCCAGCATTGTCTTGTTAACTAATATCATGCATATTTTATCTTTGGATTTCACTCAATACACAGTAATCGAATGGTCTGAGTAGGAATAAGCATTAGATAAATAAGTATTTGTTCGCGTATTCATAACATTTTTCCACGATAATCTTAATTAAAGAAATATAGCCTAGTGGACTATGAATTTGTTTGTTGATGAAAAATGTATGATTTAGTCAACTCTATCGTTTATTTGTGTTCAGCCTTATTTCTGTTGCCTAAATTCTCCAACAGTAAACTCTAGACAAATTAGACAACTAAAATTAGGCGTACTGTTTAAACAACGAACATGGTTGTTCAGTGATCTTAGAGTTTGACTTTCAGAATCGGAGCGTTATCCTTGAATACTGACATGAGATGAAATGCTATTTCTTGATGGATATTTTAGCAATAAAGAAAACTGTGAAAGAACATATAAATTGCTCTCATCTTCCTTGTAAATCACCTGCGATTCTAATATTTCATATCTACAGTTATAAAACCTCACTAATTAGCAGTCATGAATTGGTAGAAGTTGAAATTAATGGGCTGGCCATTGGATCGGGTCCCAGTGGCCTGATGGTCCATGAGCTCATAATGTCCGGGGTTCAAACCCCGCTCAATGGGTCCTCACCGATGAAGAGTCCTAAACTAGGCTGACGAAACAGCTGTCCAGTACTCCTAGGTTTTCCAGTGGTTCTCTAATCGATGTCGGCTCATGAGGAAATCCTGTAACCAATCAACACCAAAACTTGAATAAATACATCTAAGATAACGTACATCTTGTTAAATTTTTTTTTATTCACGAATTAGATTCACGATCGTGGACTATGTTCAAGAAAGCAATCACCTGCAAACACTACTAGTGGCTTTATCACTGGTATTTCTATAAAATTCCGTGGAACCTCTGAAAATGACAGTGGGTTCATTAGGAATAAAAATTTGCTGGAACCATTATATGCAAAAGTTGGGAAAGCTGCAGCAGAATCTCAAACTTCACACATACTGAGTCCACAAGAAGTTAAGGATACGTTTAATGAACAAAGATATTCATCGCTTCATCATTCTCAACAAATATTTCAGTGAGTTGATTCGCTTAAAAATTTTCTTCAGTATTTTGGTTATTTTAGTGTCATATTTAAAGATAATTGATAATTTAACGTCACCTTGGACTGTGTTAACAAACAGGCAGACATGTAAATGGGCAGATGCATACGTAGAGATGTCAACTGATGACACATGTTTTACAATTTATCCTACCAGTTAATATGGTATTGCTGAAGGAAGTCAGCAAAGAGTAAAGTTTCCTGAAAGATACACCTGATAAGATATGAATTCAAAGACTATTCAGTAAGAAGCTGTTATCTCTAGAATCTGTCTGGTTGAGTGGGAGATTACTGAGGACATTAGACAAGGGGGAACCAACAAAATTCAAAAATAGTTTTGATTTATTGACTGGGTGGTAGTCTACAACCTGAAAAATCTTATGGATGTGAACAACATCTATTGTATAATCACTAGCACTGATTTCTCATACGTCCTAAACTAGTAATAATCAGTTGTTCATAATTTGTCGATGATTCCATGGTTGACACTGATTCGAAATGAAAAATGAATTTCTAAATCAGACATATTTCAGTTAACCTCATCACTGAAATACAAAGAACAGTTAGATGTCTACGTTATTGAATAGAACGAAAACATCCAATTAGCCATATATGTTGCGAAGTAAAACCACATTTCTAGATACTCACATTACTAATTAATAAAGTTAAATGAAGTTTAATGATTAGTTCAGGCAACATTTGAATATTCGCAAAAATGAAGCTGTTGTTTGCTTATCTACAGAAGTAATTAAAGTATGATAATGTTCTACTATTAGAGTAAGTGGAGTTTTTTCACGGACAATTGACATAAAGTGGGTTTCATGGTTAAAAGATGGTTTTTCTACGCCCCTAGTCTAATTCGTTTTTCTTAAAGGTTGGAAAGATGAGTGGGACTACAATTGGAAGTTATTTCAAACGTGAGTGGCAGAAGAATTTGAAATAACAGTTTTGATAATAAATGCAATACACGAATATTAGTTTCTCAAAATTGGACGAATATCATAGACAATCAATGATCAGTGAAGATAAAATAATTAATCCACGTCTAAAATTAGTTGAATTCCAAATATTTTTTATCCATCTTGATTAATTTTCAATCAATAACAATTTAATCTAATTTCATTAGTTGTGCTTCAGTCTACTGGTCCATTTTAGTAGCATGGTTCCAGTACCGTCCAAAATTCAAAGCCTAGTGGATTTCAACCTATCTTCTGGATGTAGGACATTCACCTTGTAACCTAAAATTTATGAATTTGACTTCTTTCACAGCTGTAGACTATAAATTACATACATTCGGTTCCCTTGATAAATCTCAATAGAGACAGGAAGACCAGGTTTGCAGTATAAAATGATATCATTCTATTTCACAGGTTCTCATCAGTTGCAGACTACATGAAATTACAATGGTTATATAGATGATAACGGAAAGCGGTGAGGTGGCCGTCCAAAGGTGACAGAGAGGAGGTCATGTGAAGAGGAGGTGAAATCATGCAGGCAGACGTGAAGTCAGGTGAAGACATTGCCAGAAAACCGAACGCAATGGAGACGTGCAGCTGAAGCTGTTTGTTCCTCTAGGAAGTAAAGGAAATAATAATAATAGTATGGATGATAGTAACACACTTTCGTGTTTAAGTAGTAGAGAAAGCGTATAAATTGATGATGAAAACTTAAACTAAAAATTTTAATGCTTACATTTTGGATGCATCAATTTTATAGCATTTCTTCTCTACTACTAAACACGAAAGTACGTTGTTATCAACCATATATAGCCATTGTAATTTCAGGTAGTCTGCAGCTGATAAGAACCTGTGAAATAGAATGATGGCAACATTTTATACTGAAAATCTCTATGATAAATTAACTATTCACTAGCTTTTCAAATGAATTCAACAATTTCATTTCAGACATCACTATGTTTATCGTATACAGAATGTGTTCTTCGGTTCATCTGTAGCAGATGTGAAATTGTGAAATCAACTGGGCTCAGATAATTCTTCTTATAAAGATTGAGTTTCTTAAAAGCACCGCGAGATATACCAAAACAAAACCTACAAAAGACTTACTGTTTGAGTTTAGGGATCTCTATTGACAAACTTCTAAAAAAGGAGCAATTAAAAGTATTAAATAGAATAAGGTTTTCAGCACTTTTCAGTTGAAAATAATGCCCAAATACAGACTTATGCATATTACAAAATCGTATTTGGATAACTCACTAATTCAACTTTTTTACTTTTAAATTATTGAAACCATAAGATTATTATTATCTGTCGAAATATGTATTCAGCACAAATTCTTCTAAATTTTCTCGTCTTCATTTCTCTTTTATTTTAGGTAATGTTTCCACTTACTATTCAAAACATACAGAGTGAAAGAATGAAATGAACTTATGGCTGTGACAGTATTTCTTTACACTTTTTTTAAATTTTTGCTCATATTTATAATTTTTTTATGCATATTCTTTGACAGACAGACTAAATTTACAAGATAATGAACACGTTTTGTTTTAATTAAACAGCACATTTTGGTTAAACTGCACAAATACATTTGGTGTTTTTATAATACCTCTTTATCAATAGTTTTGTACCCGATTTACGAAAAAATTTTTAGAATAAGTATACAGATTATGCATCGGATAATAGATAGTAATCTATTCGAATTGTGAGCCCACTTGTTACTAATACTCATGTAGTTCCATGTTGATTGGCTGAATATATTCTATATCACAATAGAGTGTTTATACAATTCTTCGCTGAACAGTTTCGTTTTTTTCCCAAATTTCAAGTCGTTTGCTCAAATAACAGTAATGTTGTTGATCTGGAATAATTTGTTAAACATTCAATCCTGATACATGCAATGTAGATGCCGGATAGCCAGTGACCTAACTATGTGTGTAAATGGCATATTCAAAGCTACTATACTCCATATGTCGTTACTTTGTGTATCACAGTGAAACAACAGCATAGAGGTATCCAATGTTCAAAATTGAAAAAAATGCTCAAGGAAAGGATTACAGATGTTCTCCTTTTCTGGTCTGATTAGTCAGACTGGGCAGTGTTTCAAAATACGTTTATGTACAGGACACTGTATACGGCGAATACGCTTTGCCTCAGAGGAACAAGTTAACAGATAAATCCACACTGAAGTGGCCATGAATGGTATTTTTTTCTCAACGACTAACTAGATTGTTTTCCTACTAATGAATGCAGTTCTCAATATAGTTATGTGAAATCTCCGTTTCACAATCTTTGAAAAATAACATTAAAGAATTTCAGGTTCACTATCAATATTGAACTGCAGTTAAATGAAGTGAGTTTTCTTCAAGACAGTTACGGTTTTCAGTGATTGTAGCTTTTACTTCTTGTTTCAGTCATTAAATCCACATAGATTGCCACCTTTCTCATAAAGCGTACGATAGACATTTCAAATCGGTCCTTGTGTTATCTGCCAAACACATTTTCCGAATGCCTTAAGGTATAAAAAACCTAATGTTTCGTTAATTACTCATGGAATACAGCAGTTAATAAACTGTTCACTTATTACTGATTTGTGGTACACTGAATTCTGCATGGAATTTTCCGTTCTTCATGTTAGTAATATGCTATGGTGAACATTTTAATGTCCAAGATTTGTTTTAGCGTTTATTCGTACAGATTGGCGCTAACGCTATTTCCCCGCTCTCTGCTTATGTAATGGACAGTTACATTCTCTGAGTCGGTCGTACACCCTCGTAAACTAAATAAGTTATTACATCGTTTCTCCACAATTATCTTGACCTCTTATTACATCCAAATATGCTGCTCGAAAGAGCACATTATTATTAATAAGGGTCATTTCAGTTTGCGTCTTGTCATCAGTACTCACAAGATAGGGAGAGTATTGATTTATCGAAAACCAGGCTGGTATAGTTTAGCTTATCTATAGCATTACCAGCACACTGCAATTGGTGAGCCTTTATCTCGATTGGCCTCAATTTAGGCTTGTGATTTCCAAATCTTCTTTGTTTTTCATTACTTGGTTTATTTTTCCTTTTTGCACTGCAAGTGATTTATTTCTGATTTTGTTTTTGAGTTATTTTTCACTGCTTTTATAATATAATTGCGTAGCATATTATATAACTCACCAAACTGTGGCTAAGAACGACTCTCCTGCGCAAATGGCAGTTACGCTGCAGCTCCCCACCTTCTAGGGAATCTTCATGGTTTGCACATGTGGAAGCTCAATTCGCTCTGCTGCGTATTCGTTTACAAGAAACTTGGGCAACCTTGTTCATTGTGAATCTTACTGAAAACGTCATGGATGACATTTCAGATATGCTTGATGATCCCTTTACGGACATTAACGATCGTCTAAAAGTGGGCGTGATCAAGAAATTTACCCTTACCGACCGACAGAAGGTGCAATGACTTTTCAGGAACGTTAAGCTTGTTGATAGCAAGCCCTCACAACTGCTCCGTTCGATGAAACGGATAGTTGCTGGTTTTAAATTTAATAATAGCAATTTCACTTTTATTCCAGGAACAGTACTTGTGTTGAGTACGTAACAATGTGATTGTACACTTTTTGGTTACTTGTATAAATTCGAGATATTGTACATAATTTTTGTTTAAAACGCTTCTTGTTGAAATATACATAACTTCCGTGTACAATTGAAAAAAATACACTCTGCTGTTGGAGACTTCGTCTTCTCCCTGGTCCCTTCTGCTTACTCGCTCCACTCACACCGTGTTGTATACTTCGGATTTGTTGTAGGAGCCTACTACTTTCAACCGAAGACATTTCTACAACCGGAACACAGCAGCTACAGCAGACGCAGTCCAAACAGTTAACGTGCCTGTGGATTATATAATTAATTTGTAGCCGAGGACTTATACTGTATAACCAAGTAATCCTTTTTGTTGCTATAACTCGTCACTGTATTTTTGGTAATATATTGTGGTTTAACACTCCACTGACTTGGATTATTACTTTTATACTTGGAATGTTAGTGAACTCTAATATTAGTCCCCTACACTTGTGGTACGGTGTGGAATTTTCAGCACATATCTACAATATCGCATCTAATTTCATCGCACATTTAAAAGGAGTATTACAAAATACATATATAAAAAACAACAACAAAACCAAAAAGAAACACAAAAATAACAAAAAATGCAAATAAAAATACCAAGTAGAGAGGAAAATAAACAACAATAATGAATAATATTTCAGTATTTGGTAGTGGAAGCTACAATATGTGTATGCGTGGTGAACAGTAACAGCTATAATCATACAAGAAGTTATGAGATGTTCTTAAGGATGTTTATAGGCAAGATGATCAGTTAATTTGATTGAACTACACTAAACAATCATAAAATAAACATTTCAGGGTTTTTATCTTTATTGTCAGCACTAACGCAGTGTTTGTTGTGGTAGTGTGAGTAATCATGCATAATAAAAAAATTTTAGGATGGTGATAACGGCGTTCACAACCAAGATTATCAGTTTAATATTGCCGAACAAAATAAAACAATCACAATACTAATATTACATGATGGTTAATGACAGGACAATTTTGTAATAATCATAGTGATAATATAGTCAGGACCCAGCAGATACGCAGAAGAAGGAATAGAATAAAGAATAAAAAAGTAAGCCAATGATAATAATTTTAGGTATGTTTAAGAAGGTTGTTCATTACAGAGTAAAAATAAGATAGTAAAAGGGGGAAATAACAAGGACCAGAATTATGTTATTAATAACAAAGCAAGTCATAGGTTTCGCGCTTAACATTGCCTCTGTCACTTAGAACACGGGCCAAATATGGTATCGTTGAGTTCCTGTGGTAATTATTTGTAATCGTAGTTGTAGTATTGCGAGATGACCGAATTACACGAATCCAAACAAAACACAGAGAGGGCGGAATTCAGGAATTTGTATTTAGTGGAATTATAATGCAATTCATATAAGAAACATATTAACAATCAACAGTAAGTATTCAAACAATACAGAGATAGAAATTGTCAATCACCACATCCGCCACACCTCGAATATCTCCTCGCGTATTTATAACGATGTCTCGGTTTGCTTGCAAGTAGCTGCGACCTAACTGATTCTGTGATATTATTTTCATCAGTATTATCTGGACTTATTTCTGAATTATCTACAAAATCAGGATTATTAGCGGAATCATTAAAATAATAATTGGAACGACCTACTTCATTTATTGTCACTTTGTCCAGGTGTCTGTTATGAACTGAGTGATCTTTGATGTCTAATATCTTCACCACTCGATTTCCCATTTTTTGTAGTATGATTCCAACAGAAGGTCTATAGTTATTACCTTTGTAATAATGTACATTAGAAGTCGTGGACATCAGATGCTTTCTGAGAATTCGAGATTTGAATAGTTTTGCAGGACTTTCACGGGTACTTGTATGCTCTGCATTCAACAGATATAGTCTATGCAGATGCAACAATTCCTCCATTTTAATCAGTTGCTCCCTCATCCCATTCAGTTCTTATCGTGTTTTCGACAGTTCGCATTGTAACTCGGCTACCTCAATTTTGAAAACAGTTGATACTTGAGTTGCTGAACTTGTAGTGAAGGTTTTCATTGGATGAGATTGAGTATTGAGAAAAGTTGAAAGACACATTGACTCCATTTTACTAGACAGATTGGGAGAATTATAAGAATTCTGAGTAAAATAAGTATTCGAACTTCTGCAAACGGTCTTGATGTGTTCAACCTTACCACATTTGTGACACTTAGCACCCCGAAAACGGCAAGTGCTTCGCAGATGTAACTTTCCACAGGAAAAACACGGTTTAATGTTTTTGATCTCTGGCTGCATTCTATTACCTGTGGACGACGGTTTGGATTGCTTTCCATGAACACTTGTATTTTTGACTTTGGCCAACATGACATCAGATACTAACGTAGTGGGAGCAGAGTATTCACTGTTGACATCTTCATATGTAATACATAAATCTTTAGCAGTTTGAAAGGTACAAGAAGGAATCTGAATTAACTGTTTCTCTAACTTAGGAATATTGATTCCAGCAATTAGACGATCACGTAGTTGAGTATGCAGCTGATCTCCAAAGTTGCACTTTGAAGCTTGTATTTGAAGTTGAAGAATGAACTCTCGAATCTTCTGATTGGGAGCACGAACCACTTTATGGAATTGAGCCCTCTGTCTTGTCTCAAAAGTAGTTATGTGGAAGTGATGTATCAGAAGTTCACGGAGCGTGTCATATGACAGAGAAATGGGTTTATCTGGAAACCCCAGAGTCTTTACTAGGCTGTATGTATCTGGCCCAATATCAGCGATGAAGTGTGCTGGTATTTTGTCATCC